TCATATTGGCCACAATCTACATAGTAAAGGCACCCGCATCAGCCTCCTACATGCATGCTTGAAGGAAGAGAAAGGCTGACAAAAATAGTCCTACAATCTATTTAGCATGTAAAAACACAAATGCAAGTTACTGGTTGGTGGTTTCCCTAGTGCAAGACAAAACAGTTGTTTCGAATTGCCTTAGTCTGACCTTCCGGAAGGAGGAGCAGTCTGACCACCAGCGATTCTGAAATGAACTCCCAACAAATTGGAGAAAAGTTTAAGGGGAGTTTTTAACTCATTAGCAGAGAGAAAAAGTCCAAATAAAGCTCAAGCTGGTTAAACATCCCCAAAAAATCACCATATAGCACTTTATAAGTCCACAGTCAATGTTCCAAAGTCCACAACCCATCAGAAAAGGCATCTTCCCCCACCTACATAAATGATGAAGACCATGCCTGGGGGGAAGAAAAGGCCCAGGTAGCTTTTAATCTATCAAAGATTCATTTTCTACCTTTGTCTAGACATCCCACTAGTAGTAGAGAAAGCAATCCAAACCTGCAGCCCAAGCCCAAACGGAGGCCAAAGAAAGGGCTCTGACAGCATTGCTTCAGATCACTCTGAGACAGAGGATATCTGATGTTCACTGACAGAGTTCCCCCTTCACCTTACTGAGGAGTCCAGACAGGGACAAGATGTGGAGATTCTCTGTTGATTACCCAGATGGGCTGTTGGGAGCCAGCCTCCCCTGAGGGACCCCTGGGAACCCGCCAGAGAGCAGCCCTGGCCAAGATCCCCCAGCCACCACCCCAGCCCCTGCCAGCTCCACACAACCAGAGATCCATCCCCGAAAGGAACCCAACCGCCCGCCTGGTCAGCACTCCACCCACCACTGGTGTCAATGGGCGTGGGGACCCACCAGAGGACAACTGGAGAAACCTGTCCCCTGCCCAAGAGTGGCAGCTGCCCCAGCTGGCAGAGTAACCACTATTTGGAGCTCTACAAGGGACAGATAAAAGCCTGAACTGCCTTCATCCGAGATGATTTCATGAGACCCATTTCTCAACATTTTCAAGCAACCAAGTCCAAATGCAACACATACAAAACAAGAATAAAATGCAATTTTAACAAGACAATGCATAAGAAAACTTGCAAACATTTAAAACACACAACCCAAAATCAAGACACCACTCAAACAAAAGCCAAAACAAAGGCCAGAATCTATATGAAACAAAAACCAGAATCTATGAAACGAAAAACAGAATCCATGAAACAAATGTCCAGAGCCTATGAAACAAAAGCTACAATCCATGAAGCAAAAAGACCAAAGCTAGAACCCATGGAACAAAAGCAAATTCCCACCTCCGACCAGTAATCTCGGTGGAACCTCCAAAATGACATAGGGGGAAGAGATGCAACTGCCAAACCCACTAGACATCCGAAAAGTGAGCTTGTGCTCTCCAAAATTGATGAATGAACCCCAGGAACAACAGAGGCCAAGAACAGGAAAAAAATCCATTGGAAGAAATAAAGCCCCTGCCCAAGAGAGACTGAAGGGGGACCAGAAAGCGGGCCACCCCAGCGTACCTTAGTTTTACTAAGATGTGACTCTGAGAGTTAATAGTTTTGTGTAAATTTTTGTATAAATTTTCTCAGTTACCTTTTTGTATATAGATTCAGTATTTTTATTTTAGTATAGTTTTCAATGAAATGCTGGTTCTGTTCCATTTACTATTTTGTTTTCTTTTAGCATAACAATTGTATGTATGTTGTATCTTTTTCAGTTTTCCAATTCAACCACTTCTTTTTGACACATTTTTCTTTCCCAGCTTTCTTTAAATTTTCCAAATTGTTTCACTTTGTCACGTCAAGGATCTTTATTACATTTTTCTTCAAGTATGTTCTTCTGTATATTTTTCATGAGTAGCTTGTAGTTTCATTTTCATTTCTGATATTTTTATCTTTAAAAATTGCCTTCCTGAATTCACCTAACTTTTGTGCATTTCTAATTATTTTTTTTCCTCATTTAGGTTCTTAGAGTTTGATTTTTTGATTTAAGGTAGTGGTGTGCGGCAAGTCTCCAAGACCACTCTGAGATTTGATAATTTGCTAGGTGGGCTCATCAGTCCCAGCATACATCATACCAAGGGCTGTCTTTTATTACACCAGAATGATACAAAGCACAGTCAGAAGAGAAAAGGCACTTGGGTTTAACTCTTCTGCACAGGTGGTGGTGTTTCAAATCCTCTAATGCTTCTTTGTTCCAGTCTGTTCCTCTCTCTTCCTCTCTCTCCCCCTCTCTCCCCCTGTCTCCCCCTGTCTCCCCCTCTCTCCCCCTGTCTCTGTCTCTGTC